TCTTTACCTCTACTTTTTTATCTAGACACTCACCACACTAAATCTCATGTACAATCAAATTGGAGATATTGGGACGCAATCCTTGAGCGATGCATTACAGCACAACAGAGTAACTCTTATTCTCCCTTTATCTATGGCATGTCTTTACCTTTACTTTTTTATCTAGACACTCACCACGTTAAATCTCACGAACAATGGTATCGGATATGTTGGAGCACAATCTTTGGGTGATGCATTACAACACAACACAGCAAGTCTCATTCTTTCTTTATCTATACCATGTCTTTACCGCCACTTTTTCATCCAGTCACTCACCACATTAGATCTCTGGAACAATCAAATCGGAGATGTTGGAGCACAATTTTTGAGTACTGCATTAAAACACAACACAGTAACTGTCTTTCGCGTTTTCTCTATGATATGTCTTTACCTCCACCTCTTCATTTAGACACTCACCACGTTGAATCTCACGAACAATGGTATCGGATATGTTGGAGCACAATCTTTGGGTGATGCATTACAACACAACACAGCAAGTCTCATTCTTTCTTTATCTATACCATGTCTTTACCGCCACTTTTTCATCTAGTCACTCACCACACTACATCTCGGTAGTAGTGATATCAGAGGTATTGGAGTACAATCCTTGGGTAATGCATTAAAGCACAACACAGTAATTCTTATTCTCTTTTTATCATTACCATGTTGTGACCTCCACCTCTTCATTTAGTCACTCACCACACTCGGTCTCTCAAACACTGGTATCAGCCTTGTTGGAGCAGAATCTTTGGGTGATGCATTAAAACACAACACAGTAAGTCTCATTCTTTCTTTATCTATATCGTGTCTTTATTTCCACTTTTCATTTAGTCGCTTACCGAAATAATTCTCCGGGAGAATGAAATCGAAGATATTGGAGCACAATTGTTGGGCGATGCATTACAGCACAACAAAGTAACTCTTATTCTCTCTTTGTCTACACTATGTTTTACCTCAACTTTTTCATCTAGTCACTCACTACATTAGATCTCCAAGATAATCAAATCGGAGATGGTGGAGCACTGCCTTTGGCTGAAGTATTGGAATACAACACAGTAACTCTTATTCTCTCTTTATCAATACCATGTTGTTATCTCCACCTCTTCATTTAGTCACTCACCACGCTAAATCTCCAAGATAATCAAATCGGAGATATTGGAGCACAATCTTTGGGTGATGCATTACAACACAACACAGTAGTTCTCATTTTCTTTTGATCTATACGATGTCCAGACTTCCACTTTTTCATTTAGACACTCACCGAACTAAACCTATGTGGGAATGAGATCGAGGATGATGTGATGCATTTAATTGAAGAATTTCTTGAACGGAATAAAAAAGGAAGAAACCCGTAAGTGACACTACTGAATGTAATTGAATGGTAAAGTAATCGCTAGTGATCAACATGCGAGTATTTAATTTTGTGTTATGATTTTTTTACTAAAACAATAAATAAAATTATTTTTTGAAATGGAATATGTATTGTGTTATTAATGTTTGACTTGCATTTTGGTTTTCGGGGGCGGGGAATGATGTTAGTTGTAAAATGCAAAACGTTTTCAGAACTATGTGAGAGTATGTACGGTTCGTTCAAAATTAAGCTGAAGTTTCTCTATAACAGTATTAATATTCTAAAAGATTCTTTTCAGTGGGACTGAGTCAAGAAAAGGTTTTTGTATGATAGTAGGAGCACTGTGAAAGATCGTTGCGGGTAACGACGAACAATAAGACATTTTCTATGATAACAGTGGAACTCTGCGATGTTCTTTTCAGTAATGATGGAGCAAAGATTTCTGTACGATGATATTAAATCAAAGAATGGTGTAGGTGTGGGCGTGGATTGAGATGGTAGTCTAGAACACACCCACAATCGTTACATACACTCTCTAAACATCCAGGTTCACAAGTCCGACAACGGATCCAATCATCCTTCATAAGTCTTAATGACGGATTTGCGTTAAATTCTGACGGTAAAATGTTATTCACTTATTGCAAATGTTATGACAGGTGTTTTTAGGTATATTCTATTATAGCCTTAGGTACCTGTTGAATCCGTCTGTCGAATCGTCGGATCCTAACAGAATCCAACATCGGATTGATCGACCTTGACAATACTGAAATCAGAATCAGTCGAGGGTTAAGCGAGTCGTCTTAACAAGCATTATTTATATTAAAAGACTGCTCACATCAGAAGATCTGAGTCCTTTTAATACATCTAGAGTTTTAATTGTCTTAATTCTCTTTTTATTTATTTATATATACTCAGTAGAACAAAATCTGACTCCACAAATAGGTACTGAATTTGTTTATGGCATTTGAAACGTAATATTTTTCTGAAATTTTCAAAACGGTATCAAATTCTTTATCTTCTAATACAAAAGCATATATTTATCTTGAATTTCTTATATTAATATCTTTTGACAATAAAAAGAGCAAATAATTCGACAACATAAAAAAAGAAAACTTTGTTTTTGTCTTTTCATTTGATAAGGAATGAGTTGCCGAACACGTGAGTATTTCAAAATAAGAAAATGACAACAAATTTCAGTATAACTCGATTTGAAAATCTTGCAAATGAAATGTTTTAGAAAATATTTGACTATCTTCATATTTTTCAATCTTATAAAAATATTTTGTCATTTAAATAAAAAATTTCAAAATCTTTTCCTTTCATCGAATAATTTAATTGAAGTTGATTTATTAAATATGTCAAAATTATCATTTGATGAAACTTATCAAGAATTTTTTCAATCAACAATACGTCAAATAAATTCACTTAATGTTTCCAACACATTTATGATGACTTCAATCATTTCATCTTTTAATAATCCAACTTTATTTAATCAATTTGAAATACCTTATTTAAAAAATATCAATGCTTGATGATAATAATACCTGCGATAAAAATTTACATATTGCTAAAACAAATTTTAGTTCAATCAAACATTTGATTCTTTACTCATATGTAAATCTTAAAGATTGTTTCCCTCTTTTATCATATGTTCCAAATGTTCGTCGTTTATCAATCAAATGTTTAATATCTTCATCAAATTATATTGAAACATGTTCAATCAATTTAAGCAATTTAACACATATTTCAATTCAATTTGAAGAATTTATTTGGATTCTTTTTAAAAATCTTCGAGTCTTACATCTTTCAACAAATATGGATGATAAATATTTTAAAGGATGAAAATGAGAACATTTGATTAAACATTATATGCCTCATTTACGAATTTTTAATTTCAAACATCATCATAAAATACTATTCAAATATCCTGAAACTTGTCAACAGTTAATCAAACAATTTAAGTCTATAAGAAGATTCAACTCATGGACTTTTCTCTTCTATAAAACCATATAGGTAAATATAATATTATCTAATAAATCGTAAATTTTGTTTTCTATTTTAAAGGAAAAATGATCTTCATTTAAGTTGTATTAATAATCAATGTAAATCTTCATGTTTAACTGAAAATAGTTTTAATTCAGTTCATTATATTTATATTGGAAATCATTATAAGTCCGTATTATCGACAATAGTCAGTGCTGAATCAATTTCTATTTCAAATGTAATTCAACTTACTTTTGACGAAGATGCTCGAATGTATGATGATTTACTTCAATATCTGTCAATTAGTTCTATTCATTTATCTCAAATAACTAAAATGACATTTAATAAAAGGAATATATCATGTGATATTATAATTAAAATATTACAAATTAAAACTTGAGAGTTTATTTTGCAACCAAAAATATTTATCTTCCATAGGATCTAATGAAGAGTTTCAATGTTTATCAAAGAAAAACAAGATTCAAGATATAACAATAAAACTATGTACATTTAAAGATATTCGATTCTTAATAAAGCTTTGTTGTCGATTAGAATATCTTCATATAAATGTATCGGACAAGGATTCTTAACCAATTATTAGTTATATATTAGATAAAAAAGAAAATAATCCTTTTTTACATTTATTAAATATTCAAAGTTCAGGTGATCTATGGGATGAGAAAATTATTAACTTAATAGCAGGTGTCCGACAATTAAATGAAGTTTCTTATGATATGATTGGTTTTCGTCGTTATTTTTTATGATGGTAACTAAACTTGTATCGTGATTATTCATTTTATTGTTTTACTTATCAAATTATTAAATCATGTAGGTAGAATCAAAGAGTAAATGCTACCTGCTGTTTTCCCCTTAGTTAGAATTCTTTGAAGGGACAAAAATTTTCTTTTATTCAATAAATTTACATATGAAAATCATCTACGCGAGAAGTAAAAGAAAGAATATATATATTTATTCTTCATTTAATGACTATTTAATCGACATGATATTCAGAAAAAATCTTTAAATCATATAACTTGAAAAAAGATTTCTTTTACAGATTGAAATCGGAAAGAAAATTCAATAATATGATACAATTGTTGTCATATTTTGCCCATGGTGCAATGCAGTGCTTTTTATTATTTTTCTCGAAAATCTTCTACAAAATCAGAAAGTTCATTCAATAAATCTTTTATTGTAGTTTCATTTTTATTAAAGCGACTCTATAATTTGTAGCTGTGCTTTGATGTTCTTTATTTTATTGTCTGAATTAATTGAGGATGACAGTGTGAGATTCATGGGTAAATATGCTATCGAAGCAGATAAAATTTTGAAAAAACGCATGTAAACTGTCAAAAGAGTCATTTTTTTAAGGGTTTTTACGCGTATTAAAAAATATGGGCGCTATTAATCTTGATTCTCTTATTGTGAAAACGGTTAAACCTTTTATAGCAGTCATAATTAGAGAAACAGACAGCTAAATATTTCATTTCTATATCTTGTTAGCGCTCAGCTTTTGAAGAGTATGATGTTCAAACTAGAGATAGTGTGAAGGCATCCGATATAGTGGTATTTATCATGTTTTACCATATATTAAATAACTCCGCGTTCACCTTTAGAATATCAATTTGTCGGAACTTTTGAAGATGAATGATCGTACATGTGCATAAGACTGATATGTCATGTCGCAGATATTCCGATGTGAGAAATGTAATGATAATTGTGAACCATCATTCTAAATCTTTATTTCATCCTCACTCTCAGGATGATTTGCAAATCTCTCGTCTTTATCTCTTGTGGGAAAATAATTAAACAAACAATTTATTTGAAATAATTAGTACTTAATTAACTATAGACAGTGTAAGAACAAAACACATTTTTTTTACCACCATAAGCACGATTCATCCTGTCGACGTTTGATATCATAATTATCAAGTAATTTTTCATTATCGATCATTGTCTTCAATTTTTTGATCATCGCATGATAATCAGTGAAAACCAGTGAGAAAAGATGACTGTTTTTAATTCTGTTTGATAACAAAGTTCGTACAAATGATATGAGAGCATCCCCTCTGTTCTGAATTCGAAGACGTTCCATTCGAGGAAAAAGTTTATTGATCAGTTGACCAGCGGTCGATGCAAGTTCATTAGTTATTATTACATTTCGCACATTATTATTGCATACCAAATCAGCTGTATTAGTTTGTTGATCTGATGATACTTCTATTTCACATGATAACCGTACATCAAGAATCAATTTTTGAACATTAGGCATACGATTAAGAAGTTTAACAAAATTGTTCAACAATTCATTATTAAATGAAATCTTTAAATAAGTAATAGTTGTCAAAATAAAAATATAACTTAGATTATCAATGAATGAGTCAATATTGATCCTATCATAATTATCGGTAAGTTCTAATTCAGTTACACGAGGAAATTGAAGGGGAAAATTGGCAACAATATTTCGATTTTTTATACTAATGCGTGGTCCAGAAGATAAATTGAAGAGTGGGTCTCGGTACGAACATATTTTATTATCGAAATATTCACCGAATTGACAAAACTGTCGCCTAAAAGAAAAAAATCATTATTTCACAATAATAAATATATTTTCTCGCATTGGTTGTACCGGCGCATTTGAGTTGAATAGAATGCTAAACCTACTTCTGCTGGATAGAAATGATGACAATGGCAATGTCTATGGGCAAAAAACCATTGTCGTTCGATCCAAAATGGCGAAGAAAATTCATCAAGTAATGCTCGACAGCGACTATTTCCATGAGCATCTTTAGTTAATGGACCATGGTAATCTAACAAAAACGTACGCAAACGTGGCATATAACGTACAATTAATTGTTGCCATTGATAAGCATTTGACAGGGCAGTTTTATGAATAATTGAAATGCGTAAGAATTCGAGTTCAGAACCAACGATTGCAATGAATGATGCGAATTCATCAAAGGATAAACGCCAATAACATAGAGAAATACTAGTCAGACTGCGTGGCAGTATAAATTGTTCTAGTGGTATGTATCTACGAAACAAAATACACCCAACTGACAAACGACGAAGTGTAGGTGTATATGATAGAAGATTGAAAATATTTGGAAGATGAGGTGGACTATCAACAGCGAGATACTCAAGAGTCATACTTCGTTGATTGTCGTTCGTAGCGATGGGAAACGGAAATCTAGTACTCTATTTTGAACACAAAATGTTGGCATATCGTAAAACAGGTAGACGAAATATTAATTGAAAAATCATAAATAGTTCATCACATTCGAAACAAAAGATTTTGAGAGAGAAGAGTCGAGGTAATTGGGCTAAACTAATAAGAATACCAACACTCTGCCTCACACTAAGATTCTTGAGTATCAACGATTCGAGACGATTGAATGATGTGTCAACAGGAAATGATGTAAAGAAATTTTTGATGAAAAATGTCTCTGATAATTGTAATGAAATAACTTGATTCATATATGGACGGATAATATTGTTCGAACGTCTGTTAAAATTCGATTTAGACATAAATGGAATATTTAGTTTGAGAAAGAAACAAGAACTAGTAATGAGATGTTGGATACGGTTATTAAGTTCAGAAAAAGCTTCAAATATATGATAACCATCAAGAAAATCGAAAATATCGAGTAAAAGTTCATTTGAAAGATCTTCAAAATGTGTTGCTAGACGATAGCAAAATACAGTTTTCGAATTTCGTTTAGGTGCATTCAAACAGTGATTGGAGTTAACTCTTGAAATATTCATTTAGAAGAGAATGCATTTTATTTTTTTAAACTTACCTTTTCATCTTCACTTTTAGCTATTCAACTAAATGATTGTTTTCAAACATGATGATGAATTTATAATATCATGCTGAAAGAAAAGCATTTTTGTCGGCGACTAAATCAGGCAACACTATGGACGAAAAAGTTAATCTGTACGCCGTCGTAAGATGTTAGTTCAAAGTTCAATGATATGGAAATAGAAATGTTTTCGATCGGTCAGTAAATATGTAAATGAACGGAGCTTGTGAGTGGATGAGAAATGAGTGAATATATGTATACATACAGTTCACATTTTATTTTAAGCGAACGCTTAATACAATCGATACCGATTTTGTTTTTTGAAGCTATCACATTTACATAAAGTTTCTCTAAACCTGGCATGAGATAAAGAATTTCCTTCCATCAATTAGCATTCAAATAAGAATAATCTCTTAATGTAATCAATATCTATGAGATTATTAGAAGTATGCTAAAGAAGATACTCAAAATATTTCTAATCGACTTTATATATATATATTTAAAGTTCCAAAAATTTCTTCATACCACTCACCACGCGACGGTGAATTATCCCAAAGTCACTTCATCCTTCCATGTTCTTCTTAAAACAAAAGTACTACGACGTATTATTGAGGGTGGGGGTATTGGATTTAAAATAAAGATAATCACACCTACCCACACTTACACCAACACCCTTCGTCAACCATGAAATTATAATGATCTTTTTTTTCTTATCGACCCACTCCTCTGACTCTATTTTATGAGAAAAAAATTCTGTACCATCTTATAATTAAAAAACAAAATAGACTTTCAACAAAAATAAGTAACAAAGAAAGTCATTCAACCTTTGCCGTTTATAACCGAGAACACAATATTCATCTATATTATGTACAACTTTATATCGATAAAACAATCTTAGCAAAAACCTTGTGTATAGTTGTTATAACAATTCTATCATTCTGTAGTTGACATCATTGTTTTTTGCTTTTTTTCTTCTAGCATGTAATTGCAAAATTATGTGAAACCAATGACAAAACCAACATATACTGATTTGATCGAAAGAAAAAAGAACAACACAACATATAAGTCTACACAGCACGTATTTCATCAACAGTGTGCAATGACAAATCAAACATTCACCAGCTTTCTCACGTTACCAGTAGAACTTGTCTACCGAATTATGGATCATCAATCGGATCTCACGCTCATAAGCTCCATGACAAATGTTTGTCAACGATTCAACAAGATCGTAGACAGTTATCATAGATATCAGGTAAACTTTTTTCTATCATAAAGCTCTAGTTTTTATCTATTATATTCCAATAAGACATACATGAACAAATACTTCGCCACTCAAAATAACTTATCGAATATCCTTCTATCCCTCACAAATTCATTTCTTATACAATGACATTACAAAAACAGTGTGCTGATAATTACAAAAAAATAATTTCTTTTTTTTCTTTTCTTTTCTTTTCAATTTCATCTAAACATTCCACGTTTCAAACTAGATATAATGTCATAAACATACACTGTTTAGAGAAAAATGACAAAAAAAGGAAGAAAACATTATTATTTTCTTTCGACGTATATCTAACTACCTTTTTTTAAGATACCATTTCCATAATTAACATCAGCTTTCGGAAGAAGTTAACGTACAATGAACTAGTTTATCTTCTCATAAATAACATCCTCTGTATTTTCATAAGAAATATTTTCGATAAATACTCCTTTACAAACCATACTATTAAGGTAGAATATTTCTCCAAGAAATACTACTTTTAAAGCAAACTTTTCTGCCCCCGAATAATTGCTCCGAAACGAATTTCATTTGAACCACACTTTCTCATGTACGAAACTTCGAGAATCATTCGTCAGCAGTATTTTTAATACGACGTTCTAGCATGCATTCATCTTTTAATTATAACGAGTCTAGCATTCTGGAATACATTGTTTGACTTTTCACTTTTTCTAAATTCATGATGCGTCATGATCTCAATCATACGATGACATCAAAAGCAACTATCGAAATCAATATATCTTTCCACTTACACATAACTTCGATACCAAACACATATCGAGTGTTAACTATGAACATGAAAGAAAACCGTTCACTAACCAATGGCAAGACGCGATCTTGAGTCATACCTACTGAGTACTAACAAGCGGCGCACAATACTTCACTATGCTGTAAACCATTTACCACAAAAAATTGTCATTTGGGCACATACTACTACGCTGCACAATTCTTTTACGCATAAATAGCCTAGGGTCTCTTTCATTGATCAAACCTTTTTCTACCAATTACAGCTAATTGAAAATTCTGTAACTCACATACAAAGAGTTTCTATCGGAACTTCAACCGTGACCACTTCTTTTCAATTTAGAACTTTCCAAAACATTACCGTACATTATACACCATCTAAAATCCTCGAAATATTCATATCGATATCCACAAGTTCTCGAACGCAGTTCGGTGGACATCTATTTCACTACGCTCATCCTATATAACACCGACTCACTAGTATATCTCTTCATCTCTACCATATATTTACCATTAATTCTTCATCTAGACACTCACCACACTCAGTCTCTGGCACCAGCAAATCGGACATGTTATAGCACAATCTTTAGCTAATGCATTAAAACATAACAAAGTAATTCTCATTCTCTCTTTATCTATACAATGCCTAGACTTCCATTTCTCCATGTATAGACACTCACCGAACTATATCTCGGAGGTAATCCAATCGGAGATAGTGGAGCACAATCTTTGGGTAATGCATTACAGCACAACAAAGTAATTTCAATTCTCCCTTTATCAATACCATGTCTTTAACTTCATTTTTTCTTATAGGCACTCACCAAACTCGATCTTTGGGACTGTGAACTTGGACATGTTATAGCACAATCTTTGGCTATTGCGTTACAATATAACACAGTAACCCTTACTCTCTCTTTATCCATGCCATGTTTTCACTTCCACTTTTTCACCTAGACACTGACTACATTAAATCTCTGGAACAATCAAATCGGAGATGTTGGAGCACAATCTTTGGCTAATACATTACAGCATAACAGAGTAATTATAATTCTCCCTTTATCAATACAATGTCTTTAACTTCATTTTTTCGAGAAAGTATCATCTCGGAACGGTCGGTTACGAAAGCCCAGTGTTTTTTTAAGTTTTACTGGGCTTTCGTATCGCCTTTTTGACAGGGCTTTCGTAATCAAAAATTAATGCACTTTTTTATCGATTTTACAGGGCTTACGTATCAGTTTTTACAGGGCTTTCGTATCACAAATACACAGACTTTCGTATGCATTGACAAAGTGTACCTATACATTCTACAGGACCTTCGTATCGTGTTTTGCAGGGTCTTCGTACTGCTCGTACAGGGTTATCGTAAAGCCAAAATTGTTAATATTATCTCAGATTAAATACTATTAATAGAGTTTTCGTATTGATGTAAGTATTTTATCAAAGTAACCATGAACAAAGTTTAAGAGTAGCAAGAAAGAACCAGAATATAAATGAAGGGTGGGTGTGGGTATGTGAAAAAAAAATACTCACACCTACACCCACCCACACCGTCACCCAAAATGTATTTGTTTACCAACGGTTTATCTGTTGCTCCATTGTTTATTATTATGTAATCCTCTATTGAGATTAGAAAATAACAATGACATCTATGGGGATATATGAATGATAAATTTACCAGACAGTAAAAGATATTCAGATCATTACTAATAGTAGATGTTTCGAATGGATCGTACTTACTAACTAAACATATATACATATATATATATATATATACTCTCAAGAGTATTCGCAACGAATACTTTGTTTTCTTATGGAGTATTAGTCTTTTAGCTTACGTATCAATACAATAAAAAATTCGTTACGAATGCCCTGTTAAAACCGATACGAAAGCTCTGTTAGATTCCGGTATAAAAGCCCCGTTAAAACTCGATACGAAAGCCCTGTTAAAATCGATACGAAAGCCCAGTTAAACTTAGGTACGAAAGCCCTGTTGAAAAAAAATGACAGGGCTTTCGGGTTACGAAAGCCCGGTATATCCACCGTTCCGAGATGATATTTCCCCATTTTTTCCTATAGACGCTCACCACACTCGAGCTCGGGCACAATCAAATCAGCCATGTTGGAGCACAATCTTTTGGTGATGCATTACAACATAACATAGTAATTTCTATTATCTCTCCATTTACACCGTGTTTTTAATTCCACTTTTTCATTTAGTCACTCACTACACTCGGTCTCGAAGGGAACCGAATCGGAGATATTGGAGCACAATTTTTGGGTGACGCATTACGACACAACAAAGTATTTCTCATTCTCTCTTTATCCTTATCATGTTTTTACCTCCACTTTTTCATCTAGTCACTCACCACACTTGATTTCCAAGAGAACCAAATCGGAGATGGTGGAGCACAATCTTTGGGTGATACATTACGATACAACACAGTGACTATCTTTCTCTTTTCCTCTATGACATATCTGTACCTCCATTTTTTCATCTAGACACTCATCACTCTACATCTCGGGAGTAATCAAATCGGATATGTTGGAGCATAATTTTTGAGTAATGCATTGCAGTATAATACAGTGATGTTAATTCTCCTGTTATCAATACCATGTCTTTACCTCCATTTTCTCTTACAGACGCTCACCACACTTAGTCTTTGGGACAATCAAATCGGAGATATTGGAGCGCAATCTTTTGGTGATGCATTACAACATAACACAGTAATTCCTATTATCTTTTTATTTACACCGTGTTTTTAACTCCACTGTTTCATCTAGTCCCTCACCGAACTAACTCTATGGCAGAATGAAATCGGAGATATTGGAGGACAATCTTTAGCTGATTCATTACAGCACAACACAGTAACTCTCTTTCTCTTTATCTATACAATGTATTGATTTCCACTTTTCTATATAGGCACTCACTGAACTAAAGGTCTGGGAGAATGTGATCGAAAATGATGTGATATATGCAATCCAAGACTTGCTTGAGCGGAATCGAAAAGGAGGAAAACCGAGAGTAGCGCTATTAAATATATTTGAATGCTGAAGAAAACGCTGGTGATGATCATGGGAGTCGTTTTCTTATGTTATGATTTTTTTGACTAAAACAAGAAATAAAATTATTTTTTTGAAATTAAATGTGTTGTGTTGTTTGTGTTTGCTTCGCATTGTTTGTATTTGGTGTGCGGATAATGATACTCGTAAAATATAAAGCTTTTTCAGAACTATTTTAGAAGTCTACAACATGTACAGAGCCATTTTTTCTTTCGAGTATGCATTGTGGAATAATGATACTGATGAAATTTAAATAATATTTAGCAGTATATATGAGAATACAATATTACTAGTTCATATCTCTTCGGAAAGATATTGTTTGATGTAATATGTATTAGAAGTATTACTTTGGAAATATTAGATGAAATCGTATGATGATGTCGAGGTAACTCTGTAGCATGATGATGAAAGAAAGATAGATAATTCATTTGTTGTACATGTAATGACCATGTGCAGAATTGTTGAAACGAAGATGAAAATGAATAGATTGACAAGTAGGATACATTTCATCAAATAAATATATGTATCATGAATAGCATAGAGACAAAATAATTGTATGAAATTGCGTTATGATGAATGTCACATTGCATTCTGATATAATGAAGCATCAGAAAAACCAGTAGTTTCAGGTTTCTATATTTTGTATACGTGTTATCTACAAAAATTAATGAAAAATATTGTGAATATGATTATACAATAACGTAGATATGTGAATCAAATAATATAATGCAGAGTGGAATAGTTTTTGAGAGAATATGAATATTATTACGTCGATTACATATTTATTAATACATGATATTGTCTGGACTAAATACATCTATTATCAATGTCAGTTAGAGAAAGAATAGATTATTTTATTAAAACAAGTTATAATTAATAAATTTATACAATATTCTGAAAATTCTTCAAAGAAAAATCATTAAAGAGTAAAAATTATAGTTTACTTCTATTTATTACCATATACTCTCAAGAAGAAGTACAATATCATGTACTATGAATTCTAGATAAACTTTGCGTTTTAAGAAATTCTCAAATGTTTACAAATTATCGTCATTTATTGTTAGATAATTTACAGAAAATATTTGAGTATTTATAAAAGAGACGTTTAGTTCGATTTTCATGAAGAATTACTTTGAAACGATTGATAAGTTAGTAGTATTTTTTCAAGAATGTTTAAAGAATAATTGTGTTTCATAGCAAATAAATGTAGTTTCAACACCACGAGTAAAATGATCTAAACAATTATACAATCAAACTGTATTGTCATTCACAATCACACCTCAATCTTCACATATACCATGGTCAAATTTGTGGTTTTGCGATACTTTCTGTAAACGAACTAAACATCCTCTTGAAAATCGAAAAACTATAATATCGGTTTGATCTTGATATATTCATCTCGCGTTTAAACGGATATTTACTGATGTTCCGTTCCTGAGACTGTCGTGGAACAAAATGACAACTTTTAATCCGTACGTCGAGAAAGAAAGAAAACTCGCGCAGGACTACACTATAAAAATGGTTTGCTTTGCATCGCATTAAGTACATATATACAAAAATTAGATAAAGTTGAGTGTCAATTTACTTCTTATGATCAAAGTGCCATTACCGAAATTATAAATATATAATATTTTTTTGAATGATTTATATAAATGACGCATTTTTAAAAGATTTTATCATCTAAAATAAATATATCGTCATAGAGATATCTGCTTTTCATTATCACGAATTAAAGCACTTTTAACACCTTACGAAAGTTTAAGTTAAAAAGGATGCGTCATCAGAAAGTTAAAAATAGTACACGATATCATCATATCTTGTTAAAAGAATATCAGATGATATAAAACGAATACATTGTTTATTATATTTACAACAATCATGAAGCTCGGTATTATTTTTTTCGTTATTACTTTGTTTATTATCGACGGCGTACAAAATGCGCCCGACACCCCTCCAAGTCATGGTTATCCAAGCCTTGGTCATCGAATCCGTCGCCGTCCAAGCCATGGTCACCAACACCATGGCCACCAACACCATGGTCATCCAAGCCATGGTCATTCAATCCATGGTCATCCACATCATGTCCACCCACACCCACACCCACACCCACACTCTAATCATTCGTGGTGGCATTGGATAACCTCTACTCGGCATACTCATATTATTTCAACTCCATCTACAATACATCATCATCGTTTACCGTGGTATAAACAAGATACATTTCAACGAATTCTTCACATTTTTCTTTTCGTCGTAATACTTGCTATACTATGTAAAATCCTGAAAACTATTTGTAAATCAAACAAACAAAAGAAACTCAATAAGAAAACTAATCCTGTTACAGTACACAATAAAATGTATGTTTCTACAATTGATGGCAACCGTGAAGGAGCACCGCCATCATATGTAACAATTCATAATATTTAAATATT